CGGCGGGAGCGGGCAGCCGCTGCCTGCCGGGCTCCAAGGCTTGTGGCAGAGAGAGAGTGGTCGTGGCTGGACCCAGCGCTTTGCTCCCGGAGGAGCCAGCTGGCTCCAGAGCTGTCCCCGGAGAAGCGCCCGGTGCAGGGCAGAGCCCCGCAGTGCTCACCTTCAGCCGCCCGAACTCACAGGCCAGGTCCAGGGGGGTTTTCTTCGCCTTGTTGATGAGGCAGGGGTTGGACTGGTGCTGCAGCAGCATCTCCGACTGCAGGGGAGCAACGTGGTACAGGGGCTCAGCATCATCCCACGCCCCTGCCTCCCTCCTGCCCGGCACAACGGGGTTCGCCCCGACCTGTGCACCCCCAGAGAGACCCGGGGTGGGTGCGTGGGTAGGATGGGCTCTCGCTTACCACCTCGTAGTGGCCATACTGTGCTGAGAGGTGAAGTGGGATCTGCCCATCCAGTGAGGCCATGTTGACGGAGGCAGCAGCACGCAGCAGCACCCGCACCGGCTCCACGCGCCCCTGCCAGGCCGCGTAGTGCAGGGGACGCATCCCTGCGGGGGAATGGGGCTCAGCAGGGCTGGATGTGGACCCCGGCCTTACTCAGAGGGCTGAGCCGGCTGTCAGAGGCACGAGGCCGCGATAGGGGGTCACCCCTTACCATTGCTGTCCTTGATGTCAACGGTGGCTTGTGCCTCCAGCAGCAGTGAGATGAGGTCCAGGCTGCCGCCCAGGGCCGCGTGGTGCAGCGCCGAGAACCTGCGACACAAGGCAGGGCTCAGCCCAGCCCTGCTCCGCGCCGCGCTGTCCCTACGGCCCCTGCCTGCCCGGGGACACAGGCTGAGGGCCGGGACGGTCATGGCTATGTCCCTCCTGATTCCCCGCTCACAGTGCCTCAGTTTCCCCATAGCAAAGCAGAGATAAATCCCTCATGCTGTTCCTGCCCCACGGCTCAGCGAGAGATGCAGGGACCCTGTGCACCCCCTGAGACCCCAGCGAAAGGGGTCCCTCACCCCCCTGCTCTGTGCGGGGGCAATCAGGCGGGATGGAGAGAGATGCATCTCCCCTCCCCACAGTGCAGCCAGGCAGCCCGAAGCCGCACTGCTCACAGCATCCAGCAAACACACCAGCCCAGCGGCTACTCCCCGCCCCGCGGGCTCCTCCTGGCCCCTCTGCCAGCCACGCCCTGCCCATGCCAGCAGGGATGCCGGGAACCCACGGCACAGCGTGGGAGGCTGCTGGTAATGAAAGAGCCCTGTGTCTCGGGGCTGTGAAAGCGGCCTGTCTGCCCGGCGCTCCCCCCGTGCTGTCACATGAAGGGCCACAGCCAAGCAAGGGGTCCCTGTGCCGCTGGAGATTAGCCCATGTGCCGCTCCAAGGGGCACGGGGGACTTCAGATGGCACTGGCCCAGGGCTCCGATGGGTTCAGTAGTGTCCCAGCCCTGTGCCAGGGACACGGCTCGGCCAGCACGGCTCTCCTGATCCGTGGTCGCAGAGCACCCCCAAATCCCTGTGCAGAGTCTCCGGGTGTTGCAGGAGGGACGCTAACCCCAGCAGAGAGGGCTGCTCTGTCCTTCAGGCAGCCACCATGTCCCTCAGCCAAAACCTCTGCCTCGAAGCGAGAACGTGAGGGGTAGAAAATCCCCCCGAGCCAACCCTGCGGGGATCCCTGCGGGGCCAGCTCTGCCTTGGAGGCGGCTGCACAAACGCACGCTTGCCCACCCCATCATCTCCCAGCCGCGAGCAAGGTGATGCCAAGGACTCCGCCAGTGGCATGGCCCTCCCAGGAGGGTGCGCGCTGCCGTCCCCGTGTGTGGGTCTCACCCCCGCACCGTCCCCGTCCCGCACCCCAGCGAAACCCAACGCGCTGCCTGTGCTGTTAATACCCTGCACGTGTCCCTCTGACGGGGAATGGACCCTTTACCCTCGTTCCCATCGGCAGCCCTCCTGGAGCTGCCTGAGCACAAGCCCTGTGCCTTATCAGAATCAGATCATTGCTTCTATTATTACATTTTTTTTCTATTAAGCTCCATCTGCACAGTATTATTTTAAGACAGAGCCATCCTGCACGTTTGCAACCCCCCGCTGGCCTGTTAGGACTCATCATGGGCACCTCCTCCTACAGAGTCCTCGAAAAGAAAACATGTAGAAATTAGGTACAACAACAGTACATAAAACAATGCTAACAACTCACAGGTCAGAGTTAATTCAATAAGAACAACATGCTTATTTATTTTATGGGCCTTTGTGGTTTCTTTAACTCTCAGTGCCCAGCTTATTAAGTGCTTGGATTTTGGAAGCGATGAGCTAAACAAATATGCTGTGGTCACTTGGCAATCTCACCTTCTCTTTCTCTAACCCCCCACCAAACGAAGGGATTTTGCTCTTGGGATATTAAACACAGGCACAAGCACATGCAGGCGCCGGGGCTGCCCAGGTGCTGCGCCGAGCTTCAAGCAGCACTCGGGACACAGGGCACTGGCTGGACACGCTGGGATCCCTTTTCACCCCCAGCCCTACGGAGCAGAAGAGCTTTACGAAGGGTTTTGCAGGATGGACTGAGCACAGTGCTCAGCTCCGATCCGGGCAGGCGCTGGGTCTGCCTCTGCAGGGCTTGCCCTGGTTTTGGGATGCTGCTGTGTTCTGCGGCGCTCAGCAGCTACCCTCAAAAGCTTTATGATACTCAGAGCTGCAGAACCGACTGGATATTGGGGAGAGCAAGGCCACCCACGCTGGCAGCAGCAGCACCAGCACCCTGCGGGGGGGGCACTCACCCGTCCGCATCCTGGTAGTTCACGTTCAGGCGCTTGGCAGATCCCAGGAGCTCTGCAGGGAGAAGAGGTGAAGGTCAGGGCAGGAGGCAGAGCCCCGGGACCCCAGGCGAACCCCGTCCCGCAGTCACACCAACCTCCCAGCGCGCAGAACAGCGCCTGGCCCATCCCGGCGGCCTCTCTTCTCCTCTCCTCTCACTCCATGTTCACCTCCACGAACCCTCAATGGGCTGACACAGCTCCAGCTCAGACCCTTTCCTCCCTCCGTCCCTCCTGCCCCATCTCTGTGTGCCCCCGGGATGGGTCGGACCCCACAGCTCCTGTCACCTCGGCTCAGCGGGACGGTGCTTCCCTCCCCTTTATAGGCAGCAACACCCCAAAACTGCTGAGCAGGGCCATTTCGCCCCCCACTCGCACCCTGTGCCTGCTGCTGCCGCCGAGGCCTGGCCCACAGACCACATGGTTGGCATTTTTACGGCTGGGGCAGAGGCTGAAAACCTCTGGCCGTGAATGCGAGGATTGTGCCACCTCGGATATCCCCCCACCCCGAATACCCCCGCCCCCCCCGCCGGTCCCTCCCTCCCCTTCGGGGACCACTGAGCGGCAGAGGATGCTCACCCCACCCTCGGCACAGCCTCACGCGTGCCCCCGGCTCCCCGCTCCTTTCCGCAATTAATTTGAATGAATTCCTTCCTCCCACACAGAGAGGACGTTTTATTCTTCACCGAGGGGTTGAGAGCGGATTAACATCTCTGGAATTCATCCGCCAAGTCAAAAGGGAAAGAAAGGGGAAGGTATGTGGGGGGCAAGAAATGCTGTAGCTCCTCCTCTGCCTTTCCAGGCAGCCCTATCGCCGAGCTGGGAAGGATGAAATGCTTTGAAAGGTTTCTGTGCCATTTCCTAAGGAAAAATCAAAGTCAGGGAGCCAGGCTCTGAGCTCAGGGTGGAACGGCTGCTCAAACCCCACCGGAACGTGGCGGGATCCTGGGGAAGGAGCCCCCTCCCTTGCAGCCTGCAGATCTCTAGGGCTGCAGCTCCCTCTCCTCCTTCTCCACCTCCGCTCCTCCTCTCCCTTCTCTTTTCCTCCTCTCCCAAGGTCTCTGCCCACCTCACATGGCAGATCCCATACAAAGCCATACTCTGCTGCACAGCCCCTTTGCTGGAAGGGAGGGCTGAAGAGGGGGCCGGCCGGTTCATTCACCATGCAAATGGATAATTAAAGGAAACCAAGGAATGGTGTGTTCATTACTGCAATTTACCGTGTTTTGTAAACAGCCTAATTAACACAAAATGGGCTTAGAGTGAGGGACTCGTGACTTGTTGCCACAGCTGAGGAGATCAGGATGGGATCACCCTAATTACTCTTCCAGGGGCACAGCAAGCTGCTCTGCCAACCCCAAAGCCCTTCCCAAAGGAACCATCTCCCAAAGCCATAGCTCAGCGGAGCTCCCACTTTTCCCTTCCAGCCCTATCTCGCCTGAGAGCCCAGGATCCAGGGTCTCCATCAAGGACAAGCCATTTCCCTCAGCCCCACCAGCCAAAAAAATTACATTTCACTTGTAAACCAGCCACTTCTGATCCCAGTCACGGAGCAACCATAACCACAGAGCCCCACACTGCCTCTTTTACGGAGCCAGGATCGCACTTGGGCTGTATGGCAGAGCCAGGAACGGGGTCAGCGGTGGTGGGCAAAGGCTTCATCCTGCCCCTCTGAAAGTCTTGGGACAGATCCTGCAAGTGGGAAGCGCTGGGAAGCATCAGCAGCTGGGGGATTTCCAGAGGACACAATCGAGATAAAATTAAAACTAAGTGAACGGATCCACTGAGCCGTAGGCGATGCCTGTGAAGCCATCACCTCCCGCTCCCCGAGCGCTCCCCCAGCACCCTGCCTTTTAATCAGGGTTTACAAATAGGTATTTTTAAAGGATGCTCTGTGCGGTGGGAACTGGAGGCCAGCATGGGGTTGCCGAGGGGTTTTGCTGCTGAGAAAGGGTGAGGAGGAGGAGGAGGAGGAGGAGGGGTCCTTACCCATGGCACGAGGGGCAGAGCCTGATCTGCGCAAGCTGGGCGGCAGAGCGGAGCCAGGCGAGCGATGCCGGGAAGAGACGGCTGGATGGAGATGCCCACTGAGCACAAGCCCATCCGAAAGAGGCAGAAACATCCCACAGCCCTGGGGGCTGGTCCTGGAGTTGAGCAATGCTCACTATTTAAAGAGGGAGAACTCACTCCAAAATCCCATCCCTGACCCCCTCCCACAAGGGGACCAGGCTGGCTGGTGGGGTCCAGTAAGCAGGGCTGGGATGCGGTGGGTGTCCCAGGACACGGCGGGTGTCCCTGCCCACTCCCCGGCCCCACGAGGCAGCTGTCAGCATCTGCACGGCAAAATGCCTCTGTCCTCGCTCCTCTCCCGAGCAACATTCCTCAAATTAGTTCCTGGCTCTGGCAGCCCAGCAAGGTCAGGACTCAGGCCAGGACCACACGGACACAGCGTGGGCAGCTGGAAAAGCAGCAGGTCCCAAAAAGCGGAGCTGGGAGCAGCATCCCCTTCAGGGCTCTTCCTGAATGTGAAAGCAATACTGCTCGTATGCACCTCGGGCAGGAAGGGAGAGAGTTCGTCCCTGGTTTGTAGCTGGGTCAATCGCTGCTTGCAGAGCTGGAGGGTTTGCAGCCGGGCTGGAAGGCCAGGCATGGGTAGGAAAGGGGCCAGGCACGCTGGCACCACGGGCACAGAGGCATGAGCGGAGAGAGGGGCAGAGGGATGGAGGGGAAAATGGAGCACAGCCAGGCAGCCGGGACCCCTTGGCCAGCGCCGTCCCGCCGCACACCTCTGCACCGTATGGCGTGTGGGGCCGGCAAAGCAACCCCAAAAGCAGCCCTGCCCCGCTGGGGAGCCAGCGCGGGGACGGGGTGAAGCAGCGGGGCAGCACGAGGGCTGACAAGGGGGTGCCACCAGCCC